GTCCGCCACAAATATTGAAGTCGTAATATCACTAGAAAAGCGTTTAAAGCACATAAAATCATATTAAAATATATACATTTACAAGTATGTACTGTATTTACAGTACAGTACATGCATTCGTAAATTTAAATTACTTTTTTCTGTACTCTATTAAAAACTAAAATTTATTTGTTTGTAAGCTTAAAATGGATTCTTATTAACCGTATATTATTAAAAATGCATTAATAAATAAAATACAGAACTGGGAATAATAATTTATGGTTTAGCCTAGTGACAAGTAGATTCGGAGACAAGTAAATTCGACTTACGTCGTTTTTCGACTTAAGTCGTTTTCCTGGAACCAATTACCGACGTAAGGCGAGGTATACCTGTATTTATTTTGTTCGTACAAAATAAAAAAATAACTTTTAACGATACAATAGTCTTCGTTAGGCTTAACATCGACGAAAATTCAACGCGAAGCGACACGCTACGAAGAAAAATGTCAAGATAGGATAAATTAATATATTTTTTTCGTACATAATCGGTTATCCGAAACATCGATCTTCCGAACAATTCCAGTCCCCAATTGATTCGGATAATCGACGCTCTACTGTACTGATAAACAGAAGTAACATCTTTCGTACAAGTACATTTAAATTTAATTTACATAGCAACGTCTCAGACAATTCTTGCCCTTAGATCTAATAACGTGGGTGATCTGAGCGTCTTTCTCTTCTGAATCAGTAGACCTCTTCCTGATTAATCAGGCCATCGACTTTTTTAGCATATTTAGAAAGATGACAATCTTTCTCTCTGTAATATGTAGTCATGCGTGTAGCTTGTTCGGCAATCCAGTTACGGTATGACAATTGGAGCAAATATAAGCTCGAATTTGTGTTACTGAAACGACTTGTTCAGAAAGTGAGATGTTCGAAAACCGAGTTTGTAATATCATTAGAAACGTTTCTAATCACATTACACACAGAAAATAATACTTTTATTTCCACAGTAAATTATTACTAGAGTAATTGCTGTACATTATTATTTTTTAAAATATTATATTCAACTTACATTATGAAATTTGCTGACATCATTTGCCAGAAGATTTACCATTTGTCCGACGTTAGACTTCTCTAGGCAGAATGGATTCAATCTAATTGCTTGCATTAAAAATTTTTATAAAAATTTATAAATTTTCGCAAAAAATGATATCATGTTTCGTTGAAAAATATAATTCTTTCTTTTTGATAATAATTTCATTAAAAGAAATGGATCGAATTTTTCATCACAAATATATGAGACCAGAAGAGTGTGAAATTAAGGAATTTGTAAGTTGCTGGTACTAAGGTAATTTCAATAGCATATAAACGAATTTTAAAGTATAGAGTTAACTATTAGTAATGTTGTAAAAAGAAATTGATCTAGAAAAAAATTGATTAGTTGAACTGTTCAGTGCACTTTTTGTTCCTGTTGATCACTGATATGAAGCCACAAGATTCCAGTTTAATTTTGTCAAAAATTGGAGCAACTATGAAAGATTTACCAAGGAACTGTACAGTGTATCTGTACGAAAATTTCAGAAAAGTTTGTTTTCATAATTCTACTTTAACTTTTATAACAGATTGAACCAGTCTTCTGCAGCCTTAAGATGACAAAACTATAAATCTTTCTGTCGAAGTCCGATTGTTTACGCATGGCTTAATACCATTCTACTCTTCATGAGAAAAGTGTTCATATTCAGTCAGAACTTCAGATTAAAGTAGTTGGAAGTTTGTACGTTACGGCAATAGTTTTGGTAATACCTAAGAGTGAAACAAGTTTCAGATTACTTGACATGTATAACCAGCCAGCCATTAGATTGCCAAGATCTACTGTGTATGTAGATTCAGATTCAGATTCAGATATTTATTTTGTATATGTCACAAGACATATCCCGGTGCCGCTTGTGCATAACCGGGTGAATACAAGTATATAATATTAATTACATAATNACCTGCAAAATACTGTATGAAGATTTAAAAAATGTATGTTACAAGGAGCAACCAAATTTTTCCAATGCTAACGTTGCTGAGACATACAGATGTCAGACTTTAATGTTATCTGTCATCTGTGAGTCACACAGTGTGATCAAAGTTAATTTGGTAACTGGATAACTTGGAGACTGTTTGCATAGCATTCAAAAGTTACAAAAAATCTGTGATTCTTTATCTTGTAATCACATGCAACTTTTTAGAAGACAGTATTTGAATACTGTTTTTTTACTCTTTCCGCCCTGTGGACACTAAGAGGGTCATTTATAGCAGGCCCTTTATGGGTTCGGCCAGGCCTACAATGGAGTGACCGAGTGCTGAGGGACTGGAGTCCGACATATACGAACGGACCACCCCGAAAAATTCCTGGGGGTTCCTTGACTCGTCCGGATTCGATTCCGGATCCTTCAGAGCAGTAGGCTCTTGACCTTGACCGCTCGGACATCCGGCCGTTTAATATTTCGTTACTATCAAAGGTTTACTTTTTCTGGTTTGACATGCAATGGCGTGGCAAAAACTGTTTTTTCTAAATTTTGAAAATTCTGAAATTTCATGTGTCCTATCATTTGTGCATGATGCAAATTTCAATAACTTACAATGTTTATATTATCGCCTATTGTTTTATTTACAGAACAGCGTTATTGTCTAGATCTGAAATAAAGCTTTCTAGACTTTGCAACAGGGTCAGACAGAAAGAAAAATTTTATGTTAGTTCTAAAATGCAAGAGATTCTTACATTAATCTTTTTTCACGTTAATAAAAATGTTTACTTTGTATAATTACAGTAAAAATACTTTTATATTTGCATTTATTAAGCAAAACTTGTCCAAATAAACATACACTTAAACCCAGAACATAACATCTCATTGTTTATATGAAAGCGGTGTACTCAAAACCTTTCTGAATCTTTCATTATTACATTTCAAAAAATAAAGTATTTAATATAAAATATACTCTAAGAATGTGCAAACAGAAAGTTTTTTTCATGGATGTAAGTTTCTTTACAAAGAATGTTAACATTTCGTAGATAAATAGAAAAAATATAGAAAAATAACTGACTTAAATTTTCTGAGTTGTGATAAAAGTTCATTAGACTATTATTATGTTTTCAATCAAATTCATGTTCGACTTGAAAGTAAATACGACATTGAATATTAGAGTTTGAAAATTATAAACAGTTAAACCTAGATTTTCGAACATAATTCGTACGTAACAGTTGTTCTGAAAACTGAATAAAGATCGTAAAACGCCAAGTGTAATTTGTGACACTTATTTGTGTTTCAGAAACAAAATAATATAAAAGTAGTTTTAAAAAATATATAAACAGATGGCAACACAAAATTTTAAATGTTATTCGGGAACATTCAGCAACTTGTTGCTGGTTTATTATACATAATAAAGTTTTATTAATTTGTCTTAAACTTCTTGAAAGACGAATTCTTGATAGGCAATTATATTATAAAAATGTCAATTAATGGGGTTTTTATTAATTTCATTTAGATTCAACTGTTGCATGTACTGATAAACGGAAGTAACAACTTTCCCACAAGTATATTTGAATTTAATTTACATATACGTCACAGATGATTCTTGCCCTTACATCTAATAACGTGGGTGATCTGAGCGTCTTTCTCTTCTGAATCAGTAAACCACTCACTGATTGGTCAGGCAATCGAGTTTTTTAGCATATTTGGGAAGATGACAATCTTTCTCTCTGTAATATGTCGTCATGCGTAAAGCTTGTTCATCAACCCAGTTACGGTATGACAATTGGAGCAAATATAAGCTCGAATTTGTGTTACTGATTCAACGTGTTCAGAAAGTGAAATGTTCGAAAACCGAGTGTGTAATATCATTAAAAACATTTCTGATCATATACACAGAAAAAAATACTTTTATACCCGCAGATAATCATTACTAGAGTAATTGCTGTACGTTATTATTTTTTCAAAAATTATTTTGAACTTACATTATGAAATTTGCTAACATCATTTGCTAGAAGATTTACCATTTGTCCGACATTTGACTTCTCTAGGCAGAAAGGATTCAGTCTAATTGCCTGCATTAAAAATTTTTATAAAAATTGATAAATTTTCGCAAAAAATTATATTATGTTTTGTTGAAAAATAGTAATAGTTATAGTAATTTAATTAGTATAAAAATAGTTATAGTAATTTCATTAAAAGAAATAGATCAAATTATTCACCAGAAATATATGGGACCAGAACAGTGTGAAATTAAGGAATTTTTTAATTGCTGGTAACAAGGTAATTTCAATAGCACATAAACGAATTGTAAAGCATAGATATAACTATAAGTAATGTTGCAAACAGAAGTTGATCTACTAGTTAAACTATCCAGTTCACAGCTGTTGCTGTTGTTTACTGATATGAACCTACAAGGTACCAGCTTAATTTTGTCAAAAATTGAAGTAAACATGAAAAATTTACCCAGGTACTGTACAGTATAATTGTACGAAAATTTCAGAAAATTTTGTTTTTTTATTTATACTTTAATTTTTATAACAGACTAAACTATTTTCTGCAGTTTTAAGATGACAAAACTATAAAACTTTCTAAGTCCGAGTGTTTACGCATGGCTTGATATTATGCTATTTTTTATGGAAAAAAAAGTGTTCACTTTCAGTCAGAAGTGCAGCTTAAAGCAGTAGGATGTTTATACGTTAGGGCAATAGTTTAGGTAATACCCGAGAGTGAGATAAGTTTCAGATTACTGGACACGTGACACCAGCCAACCATTGGATTGCTACGATCTACTGCGTACGTATTTCGAATTACACAAACCTAAATCTTTTAAGAGCTACTGTAATCATTACTGCATTTAAAATATATTTTGTTTTAGTTAACATGTCATTATAAATATTATTTAAAATATATGATACTAAGAAACTGACACTATATAATTCAATACCGAATTATTTGTTCTACAAAATGTATTAAATTTTTTAACCTCATTTTAAACCAGTATATGTTCAAGGCGCACTGTTGATGATGATGATTGTTTTTCCGATCTATTATCAGGGTATATTGCTTCATTCTAAACATCTTGTAGTTGTAGTCTGCGATACACACATTCTTTGCATGTTGTGTTTTACTGTCGAATCTAGTTCCAGTATTCATATTTCAAACGATTCCTTTATTAATATGTTTTGTGCTAAACTTTACTTTTAAAAACTGGATTCACCAATTTTCTTCTGAGAAAATAAATTAGTAAGTGTTGTACATATCAATTGTCGATGACATTATAGCAAAAAATATTTACAAATGTAACATAACTTTAACGCTAACAAGATCAAGGCAATATTTTTCATAGCCCATGGTAAGAACGCACTGTACAAAGTGTTGGCTCAGCACTGGCCAAGCGGTTCTATTCACTGAATACTGGGAGTTTGGTCATGGGTATGCACCTCATCAAGACAGACTGGCCACTTGAAGTTTGCCTCGTTTTTTCCATGTCCTTAACGGCTGAAGAGGAGCTAGTTTGCCTCAAGAAGACTTCCCACAAGGTATTTAGAAGCTGATTGCCCAAGTGATGCATTGCCATAGCATGACAAACAAAAAACATGAGGTGTTTCATTATCAAGATGGAAAATTGCAACATTAATTAAATGTATTAGCAAATCAATTATCTAGAAATAATTGTAGATCATAAATTATTCTTCTTCGAAATATTAAGTACATGGCTCATAGTACAATGTTTTGGCCAGGCATGCAAAAAATACATGAAGACTAAGTAAAAAAATGCTGGAGATACTATACGGTTCTGTCTTTTTCCCCATACTTTCACACTGTTCTGCATATTAGTTTTGATATACAGAACAACTTTACCAAATATCGCTTTAACTTGGCCAAGGCAGACTGGAACTCTTTCAATATCCACAACAAAACGTTCTACTACAAGTTCCATGATAACATGAACAATGATGAAGCAGCTGTGGCTATTGAAATGAATTTTAATACTATACTGGACGCTTGAAACCTGGGCACACCCAAAAAATGCGAGTATAAAGAACCCATCCCGTGGTGAAACAATCAACCATCACCGATCAGAGAAAAAAACAAGCTCAGGAAAAATATCAAAAATGCTACCAAGAGCCAAACAGAATATAGCTAAATAAAGAATTCCTCGAGCATTAAAAACTTTAAAAATCGACGATCAAAGAGGGAAACATAATTCATGGAAAACATTCTGCAGCAAGGCTTCCAAAATCCAGGGGATTTTGGAAACATCACAAATCTATCTAAGAACAAATTCAAAACAAGTACACCAGTCTGCATGGTTCTTACCAGGAACCAATATACTCACGATTTACCTACTACCAGAAAACTCAATTCAACAAACTTCGCGACGAAGACAAAAACAAAAGATGACAAGTAGCATAGGCGCATCAGATTATCGATGAACAAACCATGCACGACTAGGGACGATCCACCATTTACCAACATAGAGATCATTAACAACATAAAACAGCTAAATACGAAAAAAAAAACCTAAGTGTTGATAACATAAGATCGGACTTAGTTCACCATCTGAAACAACTACCTCTCAATTCTCTCGAACATTTACAACTGCTTTTTAAATATAGTATCTTTCCTAACTCTTAGAAAATTGCTAAGCTAATAACTATCCAGTAGCGTAGCGTAGGAGGCGGCAAAATTTCATAATAAATAATAATAATATCTTGTAAAAATTTTGAACCATTTTATTTCATATTTTCGTCCACCTACGATTCGGACCGATTGAAATAAGCACGGAATAGTGTTACCATCCGACTCGCCGTCCGGGGATAACGTGCGCAACCTGTCAACCTTTTTTTTTGCTCGTACGATTCATTCGTAATCATATACACCTCCAATATCCAATAGAGCTAGGTCATTTGCGTCACTCTTACCCAAGTCTTCCTAGTCGCTGACTGTAACTGATTTTGATTCTTCGCATTGCAAAATAATATACGCATTCGTCAGGAACTTCTGTTCGAACAAACCTCACCTGCCGTCCGGGTCAGCGATTTTAAAAAGTGGCAACACTAGTACGGAGTTTTTCATTACTTGTTCTGTGACGAAACTGAATTTTAGTCTTTTAAATTGAGATACCTAAATAAGGGGCGGCGAAATTTTTCTCTGCCCCGGGCGGCTGACACTCACGCTACGCCACTGTAACTATCAGTAAGTCTGAAAACACAGACAATGTAAGGCCCTCTTACCAGTAATGGAAAAAACTTGGAGACACTGCGAACTAAAAGGCTCAACTGGCACCTTAAAGCCAACAAAAACTGACTAACAAGCAATTTTGATTCAGTAAACAAAAAACCACAATGGACACATAATAAAATTTCTTAAAGACAAGGTATCTTTATACCTGAAAAATAGTCACTATGTATTGGACCTGAATCTAGACATCAGCAAGGCATTTGACTCGACTTGATGGCCAGTTGTACTCCTCCACTGTGCAACTTAGCATGTCCAGCCAATATATACAACATTTTTAAAAATTACTTATCTAACAGGAAAGACGTTTTTCAATCAGGCAATAATCACTATAAGCAGGAAATCACCAGGCACTGTCCGCAAGGCTGTGGGTGTGGCAAGCTCCTATGGAACATCATATTTGACCTGTTGGTCATTCAGAACTTTGTACCAGACAACACCATTACATATGCAGACGACGTCTTCATCCTCATAAAAACCAATTCTCGCGCGGAATTTGAGCTTAGGGGCAACGAGATTATCAATAACATCGAAAATTTAGGGTTAAGCATATGTTTCATTTCAACCCTAACAAGTCACAAGATTATTTACCAGACCGGGGCAAGAAACACCTATATAAAAGAGTCCCTACCAATAAAATGGGAGTAAATACAATTAAGATATTGAAAAAGCTCAAATATCTTGGAATTATTGTCGACCACAAGCTTCTGTAGACTTTGAATATATATAAAACAATACTGAGAAAATATTTTAAAATTTAGCTTGCTTCGCTAAAAATAACTGGGGCTTCAATTCAGTTCCCATAGCCACCATATATGACGTGGTCTATGTATCAATAATTACTTATGCCAGCAACACGTGGGCAGATACAGTTAAAAAATCACATATACCAAGGATGTTGATCTCTATTTAAAAGAGAGCGCTGCTGCATATCGCCAAAGGCTATCGTACATGCCCCACCTCCAGTCTGCAAATTATTACTAAGAAAGCCGTTATTTCATACTCATAGAAAATAATGCAAAAATTTAGAAAATACTCGGGGGGAACATCGTCATCAATTCTGAAACTCTCCATGCCAATGACATAAAGAAACCAACAGAATATAGGTTTACCATCAAACTTTATTGTCTCCCATAGACCAGGATTAACTCTAAGGTTCACACGAAAATAAGCATCTACACTGACAGATTTAAGCTAGGCTCTGGAGTCGGCTGCTGTTTTGCTGTTTACATAACCACACCGAAGTCCAAAGTAGCAGATACAGACTCCACCCATACTGCTCTGTTTTTATAGCAGAGTTACTGACCATACTCAAGGCATTACAATGGAGTAACAACATGCTGAACAATACCCAGTAATTTATTTACAATCAGTGTGCATAGGCATCACAGCTAATTCAGAATCCAGGCCATCACCCATAGCAAACGATATCATCAAAGGGTTAAGCATGTTTTTAATAACAATCATAATCACCTGAGTTACAAATTTATCCATGCAGTAAAAGACTACATCAACAATAACTGGATTAACATTAGCCGCCATGTCGAACAGTTTTTGTCTGGACATGGTAGGCTTTACTCTTACCTTAAAGGTTTTAATTTACAGCAAACGAACCTCTGCTGATTTTGTAATATTCCAGATGGCGGCGAACATAATATCTTTCACTGTATTGGTTTAAAACTAGAAAGACATCAACTGAAAACAGCAGTGAAAGAAAATGATGCTACTTGTAATGATGCACATAAATATCTTCTCAAGAAACAAAACTACAACTATTTCAAAGATTTGATCATGAAGTACTTCACCATCAGCATAGTTCGTTTGAGCCAGT